CTACAGCATTTAAAAATATAATATAAGCTCTGGCGGAATTTGTTCTATGGTAGGTCTTAAAGGGTTAACATTCACTTCCTCTAAGCCCTGACAGCCGCCTTGCACCTGCACACTCTTTTTCTCTCTCCACTACACTCACACACACTCGCAGTTCTCCCAAAAAACACAAAACTTATCAAAAAACCCAACTTCAGCAATTTAACCATGCCAAGCCAGCAAAAATTCACTCTCACAGACACTCCACCCGGCAACTGCAAAACTTAAAAATAGAAATAAATCCCCTGTACACGCGCTTCTTCTACTCTTAATAGGGAGAAGACATAAATCAAACAACTCGCTTCAAATAAAATGTCAAAAAATAAACAGCACACTTCTGCCTTCTTAGGCCAAATGAAAATATCAACCACAAATCACACAATAATTCCTTTTCAATTATATACTTAGCAAAAAAATCAGCAATTCTCTATTTTTACAGGAGTAAAAAGAGAGGGAGGGAGTAAAAATTCAGCGCTTCACCTGTTCACAAGCTTCAAACTTAAAAAACACTTGAAATGTTCACCACAATTTAACACAGTTCAGCAACATATTATCAAGTCTTTCAGCTTTTCACCAGCAAATTTCACACAGCACTTTTCACACAGTATTTTGTTTTATCCTCATGTACTCAGCTTCTGTATCAAATCACTTTCACACCACACCCACTTATAATCACGCAGTTTAAACAACCAATTTACACTAAATTATATGTTCAGACGTGTATAACCATAACAAAAGACACCAGATGCCAAGACAAATTATTCAGCATTTCCATATCACTTCTTCAAAACCTCTGTACCGGTACAGCTAACTTTTCGACAAGTTTAAAAGCCTCTAAGCCCAGGTTTGCCCACCTTCCTGGTCAATTATAGCCGTTATCTGCCCGGGGCAGTGACCCGATCCTAACTTAATTTAAAAGCGCTTCCCGCAGTTCAACAGGAACCCCACCCCAGCGTCCTGTTGGCGTCTGGAGCTTTATGTAAGATTACCTGCCGTCCACGTTTGAAATGGTCACGCCCGAGGGCCCCCCTCTGTTGGTCAAATGGTGCAAGAAAAGTGGTACTTGACCACTGATTATTAACAACTGTCCCTACCTGTCGCGGGTATCACCCAAATTAACCCAGTCACCTGCAGGAAATTGCAGCGCGTCCGCCGCAAGATGGAGTCATAAGACTCAGAACTTTGCACCCCTAGAGTACCCCGTCTCCATCCTAAGTAATTTAAATAATTTTAAAAAACATCACTGTGGACTCTAACTGCCAGGTTATTTATCTGATGTTATTTCTAGTCAATTATCCAAATGCCCTAATCTAATCTCTTCTCTTGGCTGACGTCACACTCAATGAACATAACACATCAACTTAAACACATATCACATCAACTTAAAATACAACCCAGAATTAACAGCAATAAATTTTGTCAGTCAAATATTCCCCAAACTTTTACTTTTATCACCAATTACCCAAAATCACCACGGACATTTCACCAGAAACTCTACTGAGTGGACATTTAATTTAGCTTTATTTCCAATTCAGCACCTTTTAGATATTTAGTTTAATCAATAGGCAGTGCCTTACCTTTCTTACCAAGGGCCCATCACTCAGTCGACCTGCTGGTTCCTCTCCGTCCGTTTGACCACTGAACCTCAGCCTCCTTCGTCCGAACCACCAAACAACGTCCCTTCTCAATCTGGGTCAAGGCACCAAAAACTGTCCCGATTCGTGATTGAGGTGTGAGACAAATGACTGCTGGTCCAAGTGTGTCAAAACAATGATTTTATTAAACACATGTGTGGAGGAAATACACCATCACAATCCTTAGCATAAATCCCCCAAAAAAGCATACTTAAAATGTTTTTATATGTCAGGGTATGCGTCAAAGCAGATACACAACATGGATAAGTTACAGTAACCACAGCTCTTCTGCTGACAACCTTTGACACACACTCAAAAAGACATTTTCTCCGTCTCCACGCCAGGTGCTTCCTGTTGATCTTCTTACTCTCGCTTATCTCTGGAACATCAGAAACACATTCTACAAAACTGTTGCTTATGCAGGCACAAAATGCAGTTACAAGCCAAATATGTCTTAACTCTAACCTAGAAATGAATCTATATACTGTCTGTGTATGCAGGCGAACTGTCTCGACCTCACTGCACTCTGTCTCACCTCTCACCTCACCAGATGAAGCTTGTAACCTCTCACCAGACAGAAGGCCAACTCTTTTATGAGCACATTTTTGCAATATGTGTAATAACATGATTGAAACTATATGTGTAATATATTGAATAAATGTTTTAATCAAATGCCACTACTCAAAGCTTAATAAACAGGATATAAACGAAAAAATATGATATTAAAATTATATAATCCCCACACCTCCACCAAGCGCTATATAAATGCAATCCGTTACTAGTCTGATAATCTTAAAGGTTTTTATTTTATTGCGTCTGTAATAAGATTAACGTAATAAATCAAAATAAAGCCACTATTGAAAAAAGAAATAGTTCTTTACTGAGAAAATGGTTATCAAGATCATTGTCATAATATTGAAACATTTAAACAGAATTCAAACTATGAGTCTGTCTGTGAAAAACGAACTGCCGCTCTGTCTCTCTATACAGCACTGACTCATCAGAAATCTGCTGCATTACCCCCCTGAACTCTCCATGCCCCAGGAACCCTCCCTCTCTGATCCCCCCAGGAACCGCCCCTCCTTTTTTCCCACCAGATGCGATTAGTCACACATCTGGAATCGATTAGCCAGTCAAGGCTGGGGTCATCAATCAAATTTTGACATAAGGTGTACACCTAAACTCTCTAGTGTGTAAGGAAGAGGAGGAGGAAGAAGCGCTAACATGGGTTCATGAGATTTGATCATATGAGATTTGAAACGTATTTCATAGAAAATATGAATAATATAAGATGGGACCTGATTACTTGAGACTGTGAGGAGCAGGATTATAAATTGTGGATTTCAGCCAATGCAGGAGAAATCTGCTCTCTCTTTCTAGTCCCTGTCAGTACTCTTGCTGCAGCATTTTGGATCAGCTGAAGGCTGAAGTCCCTGTGGAAACTTGTTAAAGTACAGTTAGAGCTTAATGCATTCCACTGAGTTTTCCTGTAGTGCACATTTTACAGTGCAATTTTATAGCATATACAACAAACATTTCAAGAATTTCATGACTTTAAATCTGACATTTCAAATACATTTGATTGATTTGAAATATTCTAATATCATAAGATGATGAGAGGAAAAAGGTTCATTCACTAAAAATCAAAGTTCATATTCACTGCAGTCCGACCAAATGCTTTACTTAGGTACAATATCAGCATGTTAACGTTTGCTTGCTCCCAATTGTTCATTTTTTCCTTTTTCACATTGAATCATCAGAGACACTGAAAACATCTGGAACATTTGAACTTTGACTCAAATCACATCTGTTTTGTACAGTCACAAGTCAACAGCTTTAAGTATTACTGTATAATAAATACCATAAATGACTGTACAAATCAATCATCATCTATCTATCTATCTATATCTATCTATCGCTCTCTCTCTCTCTCTCGCTATATATATATATATATATGAATGAAGAGGCCGCTAGAAAAGCTGCAACCACCAAGTACCTGCAGAGGGTCAGGCAAGTCCTGAGGAGTCAGCTGAATGGTAAG